GTTGCAACCTTAAGGGGATTTGAGAGTTTGTTTGGATAACTTGAGTTTTGAGGAATTTTCTCAAGTGAATTAATAAGAGAAGCGAGTTCTTGTTAATCTTGTTCTACACAAACTATACTTTCAGAATTTCAGTGGTTGGGTTTCTCTAGTGCTGAGTCTAGTATCGCACGTTTGTGGAGACTGTTATCTGGAACTGGAATTGAAGCTCTTGCTACAGTCACCAGTGCTGGAATGCTAAGAGAAAGAGATGGTACAAAGGCAACATAGGCTCCAGTTGGGAAGATTCAGAGGCTTCTCGTTGGCCAATTACACAGCGATGTAACTCAAACAAAGCGTATGTGAGCGTCACTGGTGAGACACAACACTTTTATGCTCATTGCTGAGTTTCCACGGAAGGGGAAATGGACACAGTTACAAGTTCAAAAGGTTAGCAACAAGAAACTTATGAGTTTTACTTTCCGATAATGCGTGTGAAAGAAGGGATGTCATTAAGGTAACAGAGAAGCGAAAAATAACCTTTCTTCTGCATAAAGATCAACAAAAACACTTCCTCGCACCGAAACAGTTGACTGTACAATTGTACCGAACACTGATACAAGCTTCAAGAGCATATTTCTAAGGAGACGCTTACAGGCCTATACAAAAAGATGAAATGAAGTGTGATTTTACTGATAAGACATTGTTGCTTTCCTCTGTTGAATGAAACATTATCTTAAACTCAAAGCTAATCATAATCAAAGGACAAACAGAATAAGATCATTTACTTTCCAGTCATGCTTCCCAATAGGCCTGTGAGCACCGGTTCACAGTTTCGTCTGTTAGAATACTGATCACATCTGCTTGAACCGGTTCCAGTTTAAGTGAGTCAGCTTTTACTAGAGATCTAAGCATTAAAAGAACAGAAAAAGAAACATACTAGGGTGCTTACCGAATGATCTGACAGCCTTTTCAAAGCATTGAGCGGAGATGTTGAGTTCATACCTGAACTGCAAGGATATCTATAAATGGAGATAAAAAGAAAATGTGAAACCTGCAGAGGATGCTGATGAAATAGAGAATCAAAGGCAAGGGTCCAGTAGACTGCAGTTACGCTCAGAAAGAGTACCAGAAAGGGACAGTATATATACAGAAAACAGTTCAGACAATGGAGACAGCAACGAGTGAGAGACAGTATGTCTCAGAAACCAGTGTGATAGGATGTTTCAGTTTGAGACGATCATGGTTTGGTTCTTCAACTGCTCATGCATGGAGCTTGGTGAATTTAGGTCTGTCGAGTTGTCTTTATATATTCAAGGGTGGTGGATTTTTAGTTTGATAGTAGTCCAAAATAAAAATCCTTTCTTTTTCCTAAAAGCAGAAACCATTGTTTTGAAAAAGATACAATCCATTTTACGGAAAACAAATAGGAAAATGGAAAACATAATCCAAGTCAACAACACAACACCCTCCTCCACAGAGATCTCTATAATATTATTTTCTTTTTAAAAATTTCCAAATAATAATATAAAATAAAAAGGAAACATTTATAAAATTTACAAAACTATTTAAAAACAAAAATATAAGTATATATAACATGGTTTAATAAAAAAGGAAAGTTCACAAAATAGTAATATTTAATTTAAATATATCTCTATAATATTATTTGAGAAGTCAGTTTCCTACGTGTCGCGCTCACGTTAACTCTCACGATGGTTAATTACATAGATACTCTTAATAAACAAAAATATTAAATAATATTGATATTAATAATGTATTTCCTTTTCTCATAATAAGATTTTACTTAATTTTTTAATTTATGTTTACTTTTTAAACACACATATACAAAAAAAGAAATATTTCTGAAATAAAAATGTTTATATATAAACGAAATTAAATATTTTTTTTCGAAATTTTCATAAAACAACATTTTTAGTGTTTATTTAAGAGATATTAAAAAATAAAATAATTTTTTAACACAAATAAATATTTTGATCAAATAATTTCAATTTTTTTTAAATAGCGTAGCACTATACACTATTAATGAAATGAAAATATAATATTTTATCATTATTAAAAATTCTTTTTAATATATAGTTTGCTTTTTAGTTTTATGTTTTTTATGTTTATGGAACTTAATAGATAAATAATCAAAATACTCAAGTAAATCTAAGTTCTCATTTTTAAGATTGTTTAAAAAAAATTCAATTTACCTTTTAAGAAATCTAAGGTATAAAATAATTTAGAATTTATAAATATTTAATTATTTTAAATATTAATATGTTCTCATGAAATTTCAAATGTTTATTTTTATACTCATATTTATGATTGTAAATTCTTATTGATCGTCACTTTATTTTTTAATATATCTTAAAAATCAACATATGTCCAATTATTAAAAATCTTATAAAATACTTGCATTAAGCGGTAAATAAATCTATATTGATTTAATTTAATTAGAAAAATATATATAACTCAATATACTCACAAAACGAGTAATGGAACGAATCTAACTTATATCAAAATAAAAAATCTAACTACAACAAGAACATATAATTTTAGAATAATTATTTATTTATTTTTATACATATAGATTACAGGATGACTTAAAAATATCAATATAGAAAAAAAAATTATTAACCAACTGTTATAATTCAGTTTTTTTGTAAAATTTAAATATATATGAATGCGATTTCAGAATATTATCGTTATATTCATTTATATAATTTTGTGTCAAAACTTCAGTTTATTTTAAATTTCATTATAATCATAATATATATTAAGTTATACATAAACTTATTAAAATATATTTACATATATAAGACGATAACCAATCTAAATACAATAATAATTAAAGTTTTAGTATATTTAGAAGGAAAATATTATAGTTGAATTAAAAAAAAATAAATGCAATCTAAAATACACAAGTGTAACCAAATCGAATATTGACAAAAAAAAGCAACCTAACCGATTAAATATAACATCTACTAAATCATATGTCTAATTAAAATAATCTAATATTATTAATATAAGTTATACATCTAAATTATAAATTAATTTATAATTAAAAATAAATATCTATGTAAATTAATAAATTGGAATATATTACAATATATTTACTTGATAAATATTCATACCCGTGCATGAGCACGGAAAAATCACCTAGTAAGTATGTAAAGAAAAAAACAAACATCAGAAGAAGTGATGGAGTGAGGAATCCGCACAACTAAGCGTTAGGGTGGATATCGTAACAAATACAGTCAAACTTCTCAACCATCATTTCTATATCAATGATGCCCGCACAAAACCATCCTCGTTCAGCTCTGAGTGATACAAAAGTTACAAAGGTAATCAAACCAATCATAGGAAACCAAATACAAAGCTTCCATCACCTCCACGAAGAGATGTCTCTTCACGATTTTTTATTACTATTATTTTATAGCGGTGGAATCAGATAAAGCTTCCACTGGAGAAATTCGACACTGAAATCACCATTGGAGTTTCAGCTATAGGAGGAGCTTGTTAAGGTAGATGGGCTTCCAACTTAAAACCAATTGGTGATAAGTGGATTGGCCCATCTATCTTATATATTAGATAGAATCCCTTCCAACTTTCGATGTGGGACTTTGTCCCTAATACGCCCCCTCGAGATGATGGCTCTTTGGCATCAATCTCGGAATGTTCGGGCAAGGATCGATGGTCAACTTTGGACCGGATCGATGGGCCAACTTTGGGCCGGATCGGGTTGGACTGTGTGGATCGTGGGCTCTGATACCATATTAAGCTAGATGGGCTTCCAACTTAAAACCAATTGGTGATAAGTGGAGTGGCCCATCTATCTTATATATTGCTTAGGATCCCTTCCAACAACCGATGTGGGACCTTTGTCCCTAGTACGCCCCCTCGAGATGATGGCTCTTTGGCATCAATCTCGGAATGTTCGGGCAAGGATCGATGGGCCGACTTTGGGCTGGATCGATAAGGATCGGGTTGGACTGCGTGGATCGTGTGCTCTGATACCATATTAAGGTAGATGGGCTTCCAACCTAAAACCAATTGGTACTTTGTCCCTTCCAACTTCCGATGTGGGACTTTGTCCCTAATAGAGCTTATGCCTTTGTGGTTAACCCGCTAATCCGTAAATTGAGTTATTATGATGTTCTAAGCCAGATTACTTCTTCGACCACCCAATTATTGAGTTTGACCGCAATTGAATTATACGTTAGTAAATTAATAAAATGTAATATCATATTTTTTTCTTTTGAAAAAGAAAGAAAAAAATAATATCATATTGGCTTACAAATAAGTGATAAGTGAGGTTGATAAGTTAGGTTGATTTTATATAATAATATTTTTAGTTAACAAAAACAAATAATAAAATAGTAAGGATATTAACAAAAAAAACAGATTGTAAAATGATGATCTTTAAAAATATTTAATAAGGATTGAAGATTTATAAGTGATTTTTAATTTTATTTTTCTAAAATCCTAAACAAAAATAATTTTTTTTTATTAAACACTGAAATTATATTAACATCAAGGAGGCATACAAGGTAAAATGCGTTTGAAGGATACAACATCCAACAACAAAGGGAAAATGAACCAAAACCTAAGATACAGAAATCAGATCAGATAAACAAATAACACCTTAAGAAAAAGTGAAGACAACCGGCAAGAAGGATTTGATTGAGCATAATCCATAAGACGAGATTTATTAAGGAAGGGTCTAGTTTTACGCTCAGAAAGAGTACCAGAAAAGGACAGTATATATACATAAAACAGTTCAGACATTAATGGAGGAATCTAAGGAGCTTTTATCAAAGCTGTGGAGACAGAAATGAGTGAGAGACAGTATGTCTTAGAAACCACTGTGATAGGATGTTTAACTTTGAGAAAGATCAGGGTTTGGTTCTTCAACTGCTCATGCATGGAGCTTGGTGAACTTAGGTTTGTCGAGTTGTCTTTATATATTCAAGGGTGGTGGATTTTTAGTTTGATCGTAGTCCATTATAAAAATCCTTTCTTTTTCCTAAAAGCATAACCATTGTTTTGAAAAAGATACAATCCATCTTACGTAAAACAAATAGGAAAATGGAAAACATAATCCAAGTCAACAACACAACTCACTCCACAGAGATATGTATGTACAGAAAAAACAATGATACAAAGATAAGTATGCAAAGGAATGCTACAATACACTCCACTTGTACGTAAGATGGAGTGAGGAATCCGAGTCCAGAGTAAGAAATTGAAAGACAAACATCAGAAGACGAAGAAGCGTGGATTCTCAATCAGACAGTGAGGAATCCCATTCCAGAGGAATGGATGTTTGGTCCTAAAGAAGACCACAAACAAAAACAAAGAAAAACAGAAGCAAAGTTATTAGTGATGTTAAGTGGAAAGACATTTGAAAGCCTAAGTTCAAAAAAAAAAAAGTGGAAAGACATTAAAGTTAAAGGCACAACATATTCTGGAAGAAAATGGATCATATGAGTCTAGTAATGATGCTAACATAGAACGAGAAATAGTTACCTGACTCTGACACATAAGGCAAGAAACGATTTTTGGTATCTTCGTCCTCCCATTCAAGCTCAGTTTTCTGTTGTAGAGGAAGGATTGATATTGAAAGCTTCTCAACTCGTGAGACACTTGTAGCATTTAAGGGAAGCTTTCTCAGATTTGGACAGTTTCTTATCTTTAAGCACCTCAAAAGTGGAAAGGGAAGAGGACACCAGTAGATACACTCCAAACTAGGCAACTCATACAAGTATAACTCTTGTAGTTTCTCAAAGGGTAGTGAAATACCAGTAAGCTTTGTTGCTTTCTCTTTGTTTATAACTTCTTCTACTTCATTTGATTCTTGAATGATCAAATTGACAAGATTTGGAGCAAACAATAGCCAAGTCAGATCCTTAATGCTTCTGCACATAGATATAGTTACTTTGGAGAGGCTGGTAAAGCATGGACGTGTTGGATTGTGTAAGCCAGACGAGTATATATCACTACCTCCACACTTTGTATCAGAGACATGAATACTTATTAAGTGGAAATCTCGAAGATTCTCCATGCTTACCAGCAACGATAGATTAAATGGCTTTTGATGAAAACCGAGAATATGCAGACGATAGATCCACTTCACCAACCTTTGATCTCCTAATAGTTGCTCCAAAGCCAGTGTAGATACAGATATGGTTAGAACTTGTAGATGCTCCAAAAGCTGCAGCTCCTTCACTAAGTTAACATCCCCTCCAACATTAGTACCAAATAGCTTCAAACTTCTTAAACTCGACAACTTTGATATCCCACTGATACTACGAAGTTCTAATATACTAGTCAAATTCAGGTGAGTTAGCTTCTTTAACTCCTGGAAACCAACAGGCAGTTGATAAATACGTGTATGGGACAAGTCAAGATATTGCAAGGAGGTCAGCTCCGATATCTGCTCTGGAAGTCCACTGAACTTGAAGTTACTTGATAGATCCAAAACAACTAGCTTTTGCATATATTGAATAAATTCACCTGAGAGAATCTTCAAACTATTATTCTGGAGGAGTAGAGTCGTAAGTTCATAACACTTGCAACTGCAAGTCATCTCTTCAATCCTATTACGTATTAGTGATATCCTTCTCACAGCTCCCCAATCTTTGACTTTTGGTATTTCTCGTAATCCGACTCCAGCTTGAACAACAAAATTCTCTTTTTTTTGCCCCAAATCAGATGCAATCCATAGAGCCATCTCACGAACTACGTCATGCATCACAACAGTATCTGTATTAACTTCTGTCAGTAAATTTGCACGGATAAGGTTACCGGTTACATCATAACCCTCATTACTTGCTGTTCTTAAATCTTGGTTCTCCCCGATGAATCCTTCGCATATCCAATACTCTATCAACCCTTCTTTTCCTATTCGCCAATCTTCTGGAAACAGAGCACAATAGAGGAAACATGACTTGATCTGTTCATCTTTCAAGTTATCGTAGCTGAACTTCAGAATTGGAAGAATTTTATTTTCCATGTCATAAAATTTTGCAGCGTTTCTAGTCAAAACATTGACTGCATTCTCCCATTCTTGTACTGTAGTTTTAGATGCCATTGTATCGCCAATGACACTGAGCGCTAGTGGCAGACCATCACATTTATCAGCAACCTTTTTAGCATGCTCGACAATGCGGGGCTCTCTTCTTAACTTTTCATCTCCAATCTTGCGTTTAAACAGTTCCCATGCTTGATCTTTGTTCAAACACTTGACTTGCATCGGTTCATGATCCCCCATCCTCTTACATACATCCTCAGAACGGGTGGTGAATGCCACTTTGCATCCATTTTCTCTGGTGGGTTCCGGAACTCCGATGGCTTCTAAATCCACTTTCTCCCATACATCATCTAGCATCAGCACAAATCTCTTCCTTTTTAAAACTGTGTGTATCTCTGCGGCTTTATCACTTCCATTTTTGTTTGTCCATTGAGAGCCACAGAGGTGTAGCTTCTCTGCAATATCTTCTTGAAGCTTTGAAATAGTTGCGCCTTGAGACACTACTACCCATATCACCATGTCAAACTTTCCAACTATTTCAGAGAACTTATTGTGAATTCTCTGGAAAAGAGTAGTTTTCCCTACACCACCCATACCGTGCAAACCCATGATTCCAACTTTATCATCCATAAGTCGCTTCCATGCCTCGTCGAGCATTTCTTCCTGGCCAACCGTACGCCATGTAGGCCTCTCCATGACTTCAGGTCTCGGAGTCATCTCAGTAACCTCTCCAAAATTAGTAGCATCTGATTTTAGTTTCTTAACCTCTTCCAACAACAAGTATACACGTTTCCCATATTTGTAGGTCGAACACACATTTTTTGAGCATAAACCAAAGAAGCACAGATTTTGACGTTGAGTGGTATTGGTACTAACCACATTATTGATCTTTGTATCGATGCTCTCGACACGTGTAAGCCATAACTTGACAGATTCAAGTCTTTGTCGATGTTGTGTCTCCTCTCGTGCAACCCTGTTCTTCACCTGTTGTTGAATTGCTTTGAGATCGTCCCTTTCTCTCTGCAGATCCTTGAGATTCTCCTCGAGGTTTCGAATAAAACCTTTACCACGTAAGCATCGAATGATACGGTTTACCGATTGATCACAAGAAAATTGAAAAGCCACACAATTTCCCATGGGGATAGAATGCGACTAAGCTGAAGAAGTGTTTTAGGTGAAATGCATTTTGCTTATGATTAGTTAAATTTCGATCCACTTTGCGTATACAGTTCCGTTTACATTCGATGCAACTATGTTTTTTTTAAAAAATTAGCTCAATGATTAATCGTCCACTTGTGTTTCAAAAAAAAAAAGAAGAATAATCGTCCACTTTGGATTGTTTATAATCAGTATTGATGCAGCTGTGTTAAAATAAAACAAAGATGGCTACTCGCCCGCCCACTTTGGATTATTGTCACCACCTTTTAATTAGATGCAAGTTGTAATTCTGTTTAAAAAAATACAAAGGTCAATGCTGAATCGCTAAGTTCGGATTGTTGTAATCATTTGAAAGAAAATAAAACTTAACATCTGTTAGAGTAAATCTGTGGATGCTCTTGTTACTACTGAAACGTGAAACAAGTTGAACAAAGATGAAAAGTATTAATTAAGAGAGCATGGACTACAACCAATGTTTTTAAATCTGATCTGGATACTGAACCGGATAATTTCTGAGTCACCGAATTAATGGATCGACCGCGGGTGAACCAAAGATTAATACAATTATAATTTTCATTTATAATTATATATTAGCTATTAAAAATACAAGAGAAATTTTCAATTTCTTAAAACATATAGAAAATATTTGAACTTAGTCTTTTATTTTTTATTTTATTTCATTTTCATTTCACATATAAAATATTAAAATAATTTAAATTATTTAAAAACTTTTTTTGTAAAAACATTGAGTTGAGCATAACAAAACTTAATCTTATTAGTTTTAGATATACATCCTTGTTCACTATATTTTATTTAGGAGGGATAATGGAATATTCATCAAAATCTAAATATCACAATAATAGTTTATTCAATATTATATATGATTCTATAAAATTGAATAAGATCAACGAATTTGATTAAAAAAAAAAATTATTTAGAAACATATAAAATCAAGAAAACAAGATAAAATCATGTGATTCAAAAAAGAATAAAAATGTTATTCACTAGCAGTCAAAATCATCAAAAGGTTTAAATGAAAGTTGAAGGAGATATATAGTATATTTGATAGCAAGGAAAACGATATTTTTATAAGAAAACTAAAAATTCAAAGTAAAACTTAACTTCTATTGGAAGATAAATAATATTTAATAAAGTAGTTAAAAACGTTAGAAAAAAATTAAACAAAAATTATTCACTGGTTCACTCGATGGTTCAACCTATAGTCGGGTTACCGGATTTAAGGAGTTTTAATGGGTTTATCGAGTTTTTAATTAATGGATATTTCATAAAGCATAAATAGGAGTGCTTACCGGATCACTGGGTCTGATGATGTTATCGCGGATCTGGATCGGACGTGAAAACATTGACTACAACCTACCGGATAATAAATTATATTTCTAGCTGTCTAGTAAGAGCATCATTTTTAGTGGTTCAGTTCTCACTAGAGTACCTTAAATATTAAATATTAATATAATTTATTATGTAATTAAAATTAAAAAAAGAGATAATCAATCATAAATTCACGTTTGAAACAGGGGTAACTCATGTTCGGAAGAACGCTTCTAATGGTATTATAGTATTTTTGTATATTTTTGTCAAATTACTTTAATTAGGTGATGTTCCTATGTTCATGCACGAATATAAATATTTCTAAAGTAAATATATTATAATAATTAATTGTAATTTATTTTTAACTTTAAATTAATTTATAATTTGTATGCATAATTTATATTAATAATACTGTATTACTTTAATTAGACATATGATTTTAGACATATCAAATCTAGTCGTTTTGTTGTTTTTACAGTCTATTTAGTTATTATTTAGATTACTCGATCGCATCTATTTCTATGTATTCAACTAATATTTTTTATTTTAAATATATCAAAATTATGGTTAATTTTTTATTTGCATTATGTTAGTTGTTGTTTTTAAAATGTTAATATATTATATTATGTATAACTTAAGATATGTGTTTAAAATATAATTATTAAACATAGATAATCTTGTCTTGTTTTAAATTATGTTTTAACAGAAATAATAATTCTCTTTATAATATCAAGATTATGTATGAACGTTTTTTATGAAATCATATTATATATATATATATATATATATATATATCTATCTATGAAAATATAGCTATAAAGACATATTTTATTACTTCAAAATTTTAAATTTAAATATTTTAAAATGAAATATTTATATTTTATGAACTTTTCTTTTTAATGAAATCATATTATATATAGATATATTTTCGTTTTAATTTCTTTTTAAACTTTATAATTGTTTCCTTTTGATTATATATGTTATTTGAAAAATTTGGAAAAAGAAACTCAAAAAATGGAAAAATTCCATATAAATATTCCAACTAAATTCTATTAAATTTTTTAATACCCAAACTTTTTCACTACCCAGTTTAATACCTCAACTGATTATTTTGCCACTTTAATACACCAACTTTTATAACCATGTCTATTTTAATACCCAAACTTTGTTTATTTTAATTAACAATACTAATAAGTTTTAAACGAAATTTAAAAAAAAATCTCCAATATCTAAAAAAAAATATTTAAAAATTCTAAGTTTACTTGAAGATTTAAGAAAAAATGTAAATAAACTCTGGAGAAAATTTGATGTTTTAAAACAAAAAATTGAAGGAAAAAATAATAATTTACTTTTTATTTAAAAAAAAAACAAACTATATTCAATATATAAAACTAAAAAAACTTATCACAAAAATTAAGATTATAAAAAATTAATTTGATTTTATTTCTTAAACATATAGTAAAATTAATTTTTTGTAAAGTTTAGAGATCTTTAAAATATCATTGGAAACTTATTAATATTTTTAATTAAAATAAAAAAAGTTTGAGTATTAAAATGGGCACATTTATAAAAGTTTGCGAATTAAAATTGGCAAAATAATTAGTTGGAGTATTAAAATGGGTAGTGAAAAAGTTTGGGTATTAAAAAACTTAAGGAAATTTAGTTGGAGTATTTTTATGGAATTTTCCCAAAAAAAAAATCAATAATAGTATTTATACGTAATATTTTTAATGAAACAATATCATAAAAAGACAGTTTCAAGATTATTATATCACAATAAGACAGTTTGTTCTACCAAGACACTTTTTCCTAGCAGATCCTCTTTTTCTGTAACTAAAGTAGTCCCTTCCTAACTAAACAAATAAAATAATCACTTTATTCTTCCTAACTAAACAAATAAAATAATTAGTTGGAGTATTAAAATGGGTAACGAAAAAGTTTGGGTATTAAAAAACTTAAGGAAATTTAGTTGGAGTATTTTTATGGAATTTTCCCAAAAAAAATCAATAATAGTATTTATACGTAATATTTTTAATTCATTAAGGGTATCAGTGTAATCAACCATTGTGAGAGTTAACGTGTCGCGAAAACTGATTTCTCAAATAATATTATAAAGAGTTATGTTATTTAAATATTTTTAAATGAAATATTTCTATTTTTTGAACTTTCTTTTTAATGAAATCATATGATATATAGATATATTTTCGTTTTTAATTTGTTTTTAAACTTTATAACTGTTTCCTTTTTTTATTATATATGTTATTTGGAAAATTTGAAAAAAAGAAAACTTAAAATCAATAATAGTATTTAAATGTAATATTATTAATTTATTAAGGGTATCAGTGTAATCAACCATCGTGAGAGTTAATGTAATCGTGACACATAAAAAACTAACTTCACAAATAATATTATAGAGATTTTAGTATTTTCGTAGATTTTTGTCAAATTACTTTAATAACAATTGTTAGAATTTATGTCTACTTTTTTATTGTTCCATTAATATGATATTATCCACTTTAAATTTAAGAGATAAGTTCCTATGAATTTATTTTTAGATTTTTTTCCAAAAATCTCATATTAATTAGAATTATATTTCTCTTTTATATTCATTGTTTAAACTTTCGTTCTTTGAGATATACGGGTATACAAACGCACCGAGAATAAGCCAAACGTTGAAGACAAGCGTTGTTATATTACCACTAGGTGTTTTGTGTTTTTCTGCACCATGTGAAGAAATAAAAGTTTTAAACATAAAATTATATTTAAAAATAAAATTCAGTTAATTTTTAAATTTATTATTTTATTACATTATTAAGTTAATTTTTTTTTTGTCGACTCCCATCTTCGAAGATCAAGTGGTAAGCGAGTCTGAGACGTTCCAAAGTAGATAATAAGTTAATTATATGTAAAAACTAAGATAAAATAAACAACTTTTATTTAAATTTAAATTTAATAATATGTATGTATATATTTAAAATTAAAATTTTGTAAAGATTTTTTTTTATATTTTCTCTTTTGGATAAAATATGTGATATACCATGATTTTGACCCGTTTTTGGTCATATTTTCTATATGTTTTTATTATAATTATCTATGTTTTGGAGTCTATTAGGTATGTTTTCAGGTTCAGGAGCATTTTGTCGTAAAGTGATGATTTAGGTGCCTTATGGAGCTTAAAGGAGAGTTTTACAAGTTGACTATGAAGATCCGAGATTGAGAGACACATATCGATCGATACACACCTTGTGTAATCGATCTATGACGATTCCGTAGAAGTTGAAGTCGAGATACTCCATCGATCGATGTACGCAATGTACATCGATCGATACTGAGCGTGATGAGCAAGATTTACTTGGCCGACTTGAAGCCCAAGTTCTCACCAAATTACAAGACTGCCCCTGACGAGTTTTTAACCTAATTTTACTCCATATTTATAGTTATGCCTATGAGCCCTAGAGAAAAACAATGGAGATCTATTAAGAAAGTTTTGTATTCTATTTTTACCTAAGCAATAAAAGTATTTTCTTTTCATCTTATTCTTTTGTTATGAATCTCTTGGCTATGTCTGAGTAGATTCATCTGTTAGATTTGGGTTCAAATAGTTATGAGGGATTAGCCCCAACTATGGATTGTTGAGTTGTTATATTCATTATCCAAATGAACCCTAATACTTACTCTAGACTTG